ACTCTCTGTCTCCTCTCCTGCCTGCAGAACGCCAGCACAGCGTCTCTGCTGAAGATTACCAAGCTCTGCTAAAGGCTAAGAGCTATAGATTCTAAGAAGACCTTTACTCTCTCTAAGATACTCTGTCTCTCTCTCTCCAGCTAAAGTAGATAGCCCTCAAGCACCTACAAGAAACTGTTCCTGAGCAAGGTAGCTTAGTGGTCTGCATCCAGAATCTACCTAAGCTGGGCCAGAGACCTGGCCAGTCCTGGGCCCTGACAAGCCACCGTGCCCAACACATTTTATTTTCACGGAACTAAGTGAGGAGTTCTCAGACTGAGAGAACTGCTGAACTTAGCAATGTAAACTCAAAGCCAAGCCAATAGCTGCTGATCTAAGCTTTCCCTCTTTAGTACTTATTCACAGACTAGCACACAGCAGGAAATTTGCAAATCATGAGAGCAAACTATTCTTCATTAAATCGTATTTCTACAAAGTTATTGCAAATCAAAAAGTTCTGCCAGAACTTTTCTAGGAGCTCTGATGGTTGGTTAAATAGCATGACAAACTGATTAGCAGATATGCTGAAATTATTATAGGTCTACATCTAGGGCTTGACTTGGAAAAGGCGCTATTCTTCTACTGAATTTTTTGTTTGTTTGAGACAGAATCTCCCAGGTTAGAGTGTGGTGGCATCAGCCTAGCTCAGCTCACAGCAACCTAAAATGCCCAGGTTCAAGCAATCCTCCTGCCTTAATTCCTCCAGTAGCCGGAACGACAGGTACCCACCATGGCTAATTTTTCTATTTTTAGTAGAGATAGGGTTTTGAGCTTGCTCAGGCTGGTCTCAAACTCCTGGACTCAAGAAATCCTCCTGTCTTAGCCTAGGATTACAAGCATAAGCCACTCCACATTTTTCTAACCACATGTGAATGATATCTGACCGTTGCAGCAGGCAGCAGGTGCCTGGACTCAGGTGTCTGCCAAACTGGTGCATCCTCTTGATGCAGTGTCACCTTGAACCAGCTACTTAGCATCTTCAAACCTCAGCTTCTCTGTAAAAAGACCTGGGCAGTAACGTTCATCGCCCAGAGTTGCTGGAAAGATGACATGACATGTCTGTGAAAGTGCCTCATACAGGAACTGGCAGAGTAGGCATTTAATAAATAGTTGTTTTATTTAATTTCATGTCATTTTAAGGGAGGAGCAGATGTAAAAGCTTATTATTAAGAAATTAGGAAACAGAAACCATAAATTTGTGGTCTGCTCCTTTTCCTTCACTTAAGAAAATTGTTCACCGAAGCTGTATTTGCAGTTGAATCAGGGGTAGAAGAATCTTTTCCGATACTTCTCTTACCAAAGCCTCAGCTTTTAGTAATCAGACATTTTGTATCCTTGCTCTGTGTGTTACTGCTTCATACATACATTAATAATATAAAAATCAGGAGAAGAAAAACCAAAATCGAAGTCAGTAGGGAAAGGTGGATGATCAAATATAAATCCTAGGTAAGAAAGCCTATCAGAAAAGACATCATCATGTACAAAGTTGAGAAATAGAGTGCTTACAATGAGAAAAAATATCAGTAAGAGCAGAAATGCTACACAACAAAGAACAATTTATGAAAAACATTCTTATGGAAAAATTGCATTTTCCTTTACCTAATTTTTTGTGTGTTTTTTTTGAGACACAGTCTCACTATGTCACCCTCGGTAGAGTGCCAAGGCATCACAGCTCACAGCAACCTCAAACTCTTCAGCTTAAGCAATTCTCTTGCCTCACCCTCCCAGCTGGGCATTGTAGCTGGGACTACAGGCACCCACTACAATGCCCAGCTATTTTTTTGGTTGCAGTTGTCACTGTTATTTAGCAGGCATGGGCTGGGCTCAAACCCAGCCTTGGTGTATGTGGCCAGTACCCTACTCACTGAGCGACAGGTGCCAAGGCATCTCTACCTAAAATTATCTGAAATTTCTGAATTTCAATTTGGTTTTTTTTTTTTTTTTTTTTTTTTTTTGGTTTTTTTGAGACAGAGCCTCAAGCTGTCACCCTGGGTAGAGTGCTGTACCATCACAGCTCACAGCAACCTCCAACTCCTGGGCTCAAGAGATTCTCCTGCCTCTGCCTCCCAAGTAGCTGGGACTCCAGGTGCCCACCACAACACCTGGCTATTTTTTGTTGCAGCCATCATTGCTGGTTTGGTAGGCCCAGGCTGGATTCGAACCCGCCAGTTCAGATGTATGTGGCTGGCTCCTTAGCCACTTAAGCCACAGGCGCCAAGCCAATTTGTTTTTTAAAATTAAAAGAAAATAAAGTCACTATTGCTTTGCATAGTATTTCCCTTTGGATAATAACATGACCACTCCATTTTTTTAATGGAGCTCATTAAAAAATAAAGATGCTAACAGTTATAATGCATGTCAGTCCAATGACAAAATTATTTGCAACAGAGAAGTCTCAGAAAGGAAACTATAATGGGAACCCCTGATAAAAACTGTCTCTGTACGAAGCTCCTTTGGGCTAAGCAAGTATCGAGCTGCCTCAGGCTGGAGGGCGTTTTCTATCTAAAGGATGTGATGCCTGGGAAGAAGTTAGGTCACAGCACTGTCAGAAAGCTCAGGTTACCACAAAACCTCCTAAGTCATTTCCAGAACATGAGCAAAGCTCTCTTGTGCACAGTCTGGTGAGTTCCTCAGAACTCATTTTTGTTGCTGAGTTAAGCACTAAATAATCTCTGAGAAAGTTCAGATCAGCTAGGCTGAATAAACAAGCAGCAAAAAATAAAAAGATTCCCATGGAGGGCCAGGCATGGTAGCTCACACCTGTAATCCTAGCACTCTGGGAGGCCAAGGCAGGTGGACTCTCTGAGCTCACAGGTTCAAGACCAGCCTGAGCAAGAGCAAGACCCCCATCTCTAAAAATAGCTGGGTGTTGTGGCAGGCGCCTGTAGTCCCAGCTACTTGATTGGCTGAGGTAAGAGAACGACAAAGGTGACGAGGGTGACAAAATGAGACTCTTAAGTCTCAAAAAAAAAAAAAAAAAATGCCCATGGAGTTTCATCCCCAATTAAAATGAGTTGTCATGTTTCACCAAAATAAAGAAAAACATCATTCCTATAAATAAGTCCTCTTTTTCCTTTCAAAAAAACTACAGTTGGCCAAATTTCTAGAATTCTTATTGGATCAATAATGTTAACAGTAATGACAGTGAAACCTCTACCATTCTTTCTCTCAGTTGTACAGATAAGGTATCTAAATCAAGCACATAGCATTTTCATAAAAATCATCTACAGTCACACAAACTGTATTATCTCTGCCCATGTTAAAAAACTAACAATGTTTAGTTGGCACCTCTCCTAATTACCACAGGCCCAAAGCATAGAAGAGCAAAAAATTATAGGTTTGTTTTTGTTAAGAATTTTTGGTTAAGGCACCACCCCCATTTTAAAGAAAAATCTTTAAAGCCTTTATGGGAAGAAATACCATTTCAAGAAGGCTTTTGTATCCTCAAATTTATGCTTAGGAAGAAATATAAATGGTTAAATCAAATTTAATAACATATTTTTTTAAATAAAATACCCTCTTTGAATCGTTTCAGAATTTATTTCAGAATTTCGTCCTTTGTTGTCACTAGATGTACAGATTTCCTTTCTACTAAAATGTACTTAGGATAACTGAAAGACCTTTAACTGTATACTGTACACTTCTGAAGGTACTCACAGAGAAAAAACAGTCACAGACAGAAGAAACTATGATAGAGCCACTCATTTCCTGAGCAAACCCACTTCCTTCTGTATCACACATTTCCTTTTCTTGATCAATGTATTTTTTTCTTTTTTTTTTTTTTTTGAGACAGAGTCTCACTATGTTGCCCTCCATAGAGTGCCATGGTGTCCCAGCTCACAGCAACCTCAAACTCTTGGGCTCAAGTGATTCTCTTGCCTCAGCCTCCTGAGTAGCTGGGACTCCAGGTGCCCGCCACAGTGCCCAGCTATTTTTTTGGTTGCAGTTGTCATTGTTTAGCAGGCCCAGGCCAGGCTCAAACCCACCGGCTGTGGCTGGCGCCCTACTCACTGAGCTACAGGCGCCAAGCATCAGTGTATTTTTTGAAATTAGCAGCAAAGGGGCCGGGCATGGTGTCTCACAGCTATAATCCCAGCACTCTGGGAGGCCAAGCCAAGGCAGGTGGATTGCCTGAGCTCACAGGTTCAAGACTAGCCTGAGCAAGAGCAAGATCCCGTCTTGCCCAAGAGTTTGAAGTTGCTGTGCACTATGACACCATAGCACTCTACCGAGAGCAAGAAAGTGAGGCTCAGTCTCAAAAAAAAAAAAGAAAGTAGCAGCAAAGTCATCTTGTAAAATGTATTATACTTCTGAGCCCTGAGCCTGGAAGCTAGGCATATTCCAGTGGTCATGTCCTATTTACTATCATCACTGTAGTGATACAAAATTAAAACTTCAAATAAAGTGTCACGTCAGTCAGACAGAAAAGCTCTCTGCAATGTTAAGTGATGTTTCTACAAAAGAATCTGAATCATTGTGCGCCAGATCCATACTTTGAGAAAACAAATATCATCCTAGGAAGATGTGAACCCAAAATAATTTCAAAGCTCCTGGTTATTCCACACAGAAAACTATTTGATCTTCTATAAGAAAATCAATTTTTTGACCTTTCTCATCTTTTTTTTTTAATTTAATTTTTTAAAATTTTTGACCTTTCAAATCTTAAGCAGAGTGTATGAGGCTAGATTTCTTTTCTCTAAGTATAACCTTGGAGATAAAAACTAAAAGTCTCACAATTATTAAAATTATACATTTTATTAGACATGTATCTCCTCAGGGATTATTGCCTTGACTTTAATCAAAGCAGATACAAGAAGCTGAGCAGAAAGGTGGCTATCATGATTCTCCTGTATTAATAAATATAAAATATCTTTAAAAATAAAATCAGCTCTTAGCCTAAATAGAAAAAGCTTTATTTATTTACTAGCAATGAGTGATACCACAGAAACAGACAAATGCAATAAAGTCTCTTAAAATGTTTATTTTTGTCAGAATAGCTGACGATTTTCTGTTAAGTATTTTGGTTTATTATTATAATAAGCACTTCCCCCCCCCCTTGAAAAATCTACTGAAAATATCTCAAATCGTTGAGGTAAAGAACTAAAAAAAAAAAAAAAAGAAAAAGGAAAAAAAAACTTTTGTAAAGAAAAAAAATCTCTTAAAATTCCTTTAGCTTGATAAATAGAAATAATCTCTTCTTGTTCTACTCTGGGGAACCTAAATGTATTTTACACAGAAAGTATCATGTCACTTATTGGCAAACCAAAGGTGAGAACTATTCATTTACACGTTGTACTCAAAACACATGCAACGCTGCTGTGTCCATCCATACTTCTTTGTTTTTTTACAGTTACCAACACTCTCCTGGCAAAGACAAAATTTTGGAATGGCAAAAGCAACAGAAGTATTAGATCTCAAAGCTTCGGAATGGAATTAATCTGAGTCTTCATCATCAAGATAGTCCTCGGCATTGCTTGATGTTCGAATAGCGTCTGAAAGAAACGGGTGAGGGGAGAAAAACAGGATTTACAACTTGCTCAATGCTTTGGGTTTTTTTTTTTTTGTTTTGGCTTTCATTGTTCTTGACAATTCAAAAAGTCATTATCTTCCATCTGACCCAGGAATTATATTTTCCTTGGGAATTTTTTTCACTTTTTTTGAGACAAGAGTCTCACTTTATCATCCTTGGTAGAGGATCGTGGTGTCAGAGCTCACAGCAACCTCAAACTCTTAGGCTCCAGTGATTCCCTTACCTCCGCCTCCCGGGAAGCTGGGACTATAAGCCACACCACAATGGCTGGCTATTCATTCTTGCTCAGGCTAGTCTTGAACCTGTGAGCTCAGGCAATCCACCTGCCTGGCCTCCCAGAGTGCTAGGATTACAGGCATGAGCCACCATGCCTGGTCTTGAGAATTTTTTTCTAGTTTTCTTTTCAGCCTATTAAATATCTGCTGCCACAGAGGCTGACAAATACATTTGTCTGCATGTTCCTTAGTCATGCAGAAGAGAAAAAAAGCCTGTGGTGCTAAGCTGCCATTACTCCATTCCCAACAGAGAACGACTAGCCACATGCACCGTGGCCACCATGAAACACACCCGCAGCAGATACTCCATTCAGACAACTGTGCCTCCAACTTCCTCTCGCCCAGTGACAAGTACACAAAACAAAAGGCTTCAGTCAATCCCCAGCCTGAGGCCTTCCCTGAAGGCAAGGTTACTGGGTAGAAAGATAACTAATGACAGGGGAAAGGGGGAAAAAAGAATAAAAACAAAAGCTTCAGTTTCATTTTAGAAAACACTAAAAATAAAATATTAAGAAACAAAAGACTAGGCCAGGTGAGGTGGCTCACACCTATAATCCTAGCACTCTGAGAGGCCAAGGTGGGTGGATTGCTTGAGCTCCTGAGTTCAAGACCTACCTGAGGAAAAGCGAGACCCTGTCTCTAAAAATAGCCAGGCATTGTGGTGGGCACTTGTAGTCCCAGCTACTTGGGAGGCTGAGGCAAGAGAACTGCTTGAGCCCAAGAGTTTGAGGTTGCTGTGAGCTATGACACCATGGAACTCTACTGTGGACGACAAAGTGAAACTCTATCTCAAAACCAAACAAACAAAAAAGGCTGATTTTCATCTGTCCCAAATAAACTGATTTGAACTCTTAAAAAAAAAAATTGCCTGCAAGGAAAGTGAACTGGGGAGAAGCAAGTTTGGATTGGAAGACCAGTCAAATAGTACAGATAAAAGGTGATGGTTTGGACTAATGCAGGGGCAATGGGGATGAGGAGAAGCAGATATTTCAAGATATTATAACACACTAGGCTGAGCAAGAGTGAGACCCTGTCTCTAAAAAAAACTGGGCGTTATGGCAGGAGCTGGTAGTCCCAGCTACCAGGGAGGCTAAGGCAAGAGAATCATTTGAGCCCAAGAGTTTGAGGTTGTTGTGAGCTATGACTCCACAGCACCCTACCTGGGGCAACCAAGTGAGACTCTGTTTCAAAAAAAAAAAAAGCTCATTATTTTAAAAACCCCTAAATAAAGGGCAAAAATCAAGCACTTATCCTGTTATGTGAACTATTCCACCAGGTAACCAGCTGATGAGGATCTATGTTTCTTTATAAAATGTTTTAGCTAATAACTGAGAAAAATCGAATTAAAATATCATCATTTTGTAACCCTCAGTGAAATAACAGAGCTAGATAAGGGTCATCTGGTCATCAATGGATGCTAATATCACAGGAAGAGTGACAACCAGATGCTACGTGCCTCTGATGAAAGAACCTGATATTCTGTATGATATATTCTTCCCTCTCCCCATGAGAAAGATGATTACAGATAGATGATAGATAGATAGATAGATAGACAGATAGACAGACAGACACATACACAAACAAATGACATATAGAACTTAAATAGAATCAAACCTCCAGACCTAACACCAATTGACAAAAACATAAAGAACAGAGGAACAGAACAAATGAATTTCCATGGGAATGCAGTGAGCAATGCCCAGATTGGGAAATTCGAGTTAGTTGACCTAATTTTTTCAATAAATAAATTGCAGTTAAAAAGAGAAGACAGAGAAAGGAAACAGTCATTCAAAAAAAAAAAATGAAGAGACATATCTAGCAATCACAAACTGACTTTCTGTGGACCCTGACTTAAATAAGTGATTAAGTATGAGTTAATTATACTGTAGTTTTTTTTTTTTT